AAATGGGGACGAATAAAACTGTTGAAGATTTTGTGGAAGGTTCTACCGTCGAACTGGCCGAAAATGCACTTCAATGTTACCAGTGCAAGGTTTGCTTGAAAGGCGTTTTTGTCACAGTTCGCATACGACTTCAGGTCGTAGGGTACCAACACTCCTAAATCTTTTCCGACTTGGGAAACTTCTAGAGAGGAGTTACCTAAGTTGTAACTATAGTCTGTAACATGTCGCAGATGGACTACCTTGCACTTTGAAGTGTTGAAGGTAAGTCCGTCGTCGTCTGCCCAACTTTGAAGTCGGGTCAGATCCTCTTGAAGTGCCAGTATATCCTCTTGGTTGCGTATCTCTCTACAAAGTCTCACGTCACCAGCAAAAAACAATGCGTCATACAATACTTGTGGAGGATCGTTTATATAAATCAAGAAAAGAAGAAGTCCTAGTAATGAGCGCTGGGGAACCCCACTAGGACATTCCATAGCCTGAGAGAGAGTGAAGTTAACACTGACATTAAAATGTGGACTTTCTAAATATGAAGTGAGCCAGTCATTCAAAGGGGGTTTGACACCCAATCGTCTAAGCTTATTGATTAGACATATGTGGTTGACCCTACAAAAGGCTTTTGGGAAATCAAGGTAAATGATGTCAACCTTACCCTTGCGATCAAGGACGGTTGTCCATCTATCCACCACAACCAGCAGTTTGGTTATACAAGAGTGACCCTTCCTGAACCATGCTGTTGAGGTGAGAAGAACTTTAAAGATGATAAGTATTCTTGTATACCGTTGTATATTAGAGACTCCATAATTTTAGAAGGTATGGAGAGAATAGCCATTGGTCGGTAGCTTGAGGGTTCACTGCGTCGACCTCCTTTGAAAATTGGTGTGATGTGAGCCAGCTTCCAAATTTCCGGTAGTTTGCCTCTGCTTAGCGAGTGTGTAAACATCACACTAAGTGGTGATGCCAGGATTGAAGCTGCTTCTCTCAATACAGCAGAATGAACCATATCCGGACCAGGAGAAGTGTCTTTTCTTAAATGCTGCAGTTTACGGAGCACTAGGTCAGCACTCAGGTCCACTTCGGAAAGTCCTGTACAGTTGCATGTGAAGCTTTCGTCAGTATAGTTGATGTGGGTTGACTGGAATTATTAATATTATTATTGTTATTATTCACAACCACCTTATGGGTACATAAGTGCTGTGAAGAAACCATTTCGGGTTTCTTCAAAAATGCAATAATACACAATTTTCAATAATGTTAGCATTACATATGCCATGTTTGAGAAAGGAGGAAAAAATAAAATATTAATAATAGAATAGTAATAATAAATCAGGTTCTGCGTAATTGGCAAGAATTTTGAGTTGATTTTGAAGAAGGAAAGGAAGAAGCTAAGGAAATAGAAATAAAGGAGTCGCGGAATACGTAAATATCTTAACGCAGAACAAGAATAAACAACTATGTATGTATAGCAAAAACGAGTAATAAAAATGAAATAAAACAGAATAAATTAATAAGTAAATAACTCATTATAGCGGTAAGATATGACGTTAGAATAAGTGTTTGTGCGTGTACAGTCATAGTTTTGGGTGATGCTCTGAAAGTTTCAATTAAGTGCAAAGATAATCAATATGTATGAGGTGTATATACATTAGTGAAGATACGAAACGAGTCTGATAAGTTGAATTCAACGTAACTCAAGTTATTGTCTTAATCCAAAGCTTCGTAATCTTAAGAATAATATTTATTTAGAAGGAAAAAAAGGAGAGAGAAAAGAAGTGAACACATAGTGAAAGGGTCCAACCATGATCATAATAGTGCATTGGTTATAGACTTTTGAGATAAACGAATAATTTAATAATAATAATAACAATAGTAACAATAATAATAAACCTTTACTGCACTCGGATAAATACGTGTAGATTTATGTAACAGTATACAGAGTGAAACCGGGTATTAGTATAAACATTAGTGCAATAATATTAATAATAATTTAGAATGATGCTATAATAGTCACAATTAATTGCAAAGGATAATTTAAATATAAATTTCTATATGTTATATATATGTATGTTGTGGGGATTATAAAAAAATCTGAGAATTTATTTGTTCAAGTGTAACATAGGGTTTTTTGTTTTTAGTTGTAGACTTTGGATGTTTAGGAATAAAATATGTTTAGAAGGACAAGAAGAGATGAAAAGAATATCTAATGTGTCGAGAGACCAATAATGATAATAATAACAGTAATAATTATAAATACGAACGTAAGCAGACTTCATATATTAAGATGAATAAAAGTGAAACAAAATAGGCATGAAAAGTTTCAAAAGCTTCACTTTGCTTTTCAGTGAGTTAGATAGATGGCGGACCTTTTTTGTATAAATCATTGTTAAGCACGTTGATATTCAGTAGGTGACACAATCCACTTACGGAAAGAAAATCATCAAGAAGACTTCGGAACCGGGTTATAGTTTCACTGCATCGGAGGTTCATCGGCAGTCTATTCCACATGGTTGAGTAGCGAATAACAAAAAAATTCTGGGTTTTTGGAATCGCTAGAATATTTCCCTTATTGCGTAAATTTTGGGACGGTATCATAGAGTATGAAGGGGTAGATAGCGAAGAGTGAGGAATACCGTTAAGAAGCCGGAAGAGAAAGATAAGGTTTAATTTGATACGCCTGATCCAGAGAGGTTCTAGTTTGAGTTGTTGACATCTTTGATGATAGTCTTTGTTCTCAGAATACCCCAAAACAGCTTTGGTGAACATCCTTTGAACACCTTCAATTTTAATAATAATAATAATTTATTCTCAAATAACAGATTGTTACATGAGGCATGCCGGTTTACAGGCAAGATCAAATTGTTACAGAAGTTACAATTTTCACCGTTGAAAATTACTCAGCTGGGTTGATATTTCATAAGATATGAATGTAAATAGATTTCGTAAGAAACATATCAATACCACACTTGTCGCACTTTATGGAAGTAGCGCTCCAACATACAACTGATAATCGAGAATAGATACATGCGAAGTTGGGGGCTTTTAGAAGTTTCGAACTTATATACCTCCGGAATATCTGAGGCTTTAATAACGGTGTAGGAGCTGTTTGAACTCTCTTTTTTGTTTTTAGATTTTATAGGGTATAGACTGGGCTTCGTTTTTAGCCAATTGTCTAGTTTGCTTGTAATAGGATTACTCGGTAGGAAGTGGAACCAATTTAGCTTCTTTTAACATGATCTAAAGTGGTATTTTTCATGAATAATTTCGCATCAATACCGTTGGTTCGTGACATTCCACTAGACATAAGGAGCCGTAATTAATGTGTTCTGCCCTACAGACACGGGTGGATTGAAGTTATCTCCCCACCAACATGTTTGCTGGTTGGTAACGCCACCCTCCCTCCTTTTATGATGTTAGGCTCGCTTACGTTTGTGGTCAGTATGAATATAGCTTTAATCAAGGACCATAGTTGGAATACACCGTCTCTACAAGTTCCATGTTACAAGAGAATCAGATGGTAATAGCATTTGTATTATGGGTTAGATATCCATTTAATATGTCGTACTACTATGAAGATAACTAATGGTGAAGGTTATAAGAGACAAGTAAGATTATATGTGGTTATTAGATGGTAAGGACTAATAGCAAACCAGAGGATATGAAAGAGAATATTGTAAAATTTTCAGGGTAAGGAAAACAAAACATTGAACAAACTCACAAGAATTTAGGACATTTGAGCTTCTTTTGATCGGCCTTAGTTGGTCAGCATCCATAAGATTAGTGAGTTATCTGTCTACTTGTAATAAGAAAAATAAAAGGACATGACACTTAGGAGGAATAATTTGGATTTATCCATTAGAGAGATTCGGAAACCGAAAATGAGGGTTAGGAGCGGAAGGCCATGGCTAATAATCAATAAATAGTGGGGGAGGATAAAGCATGTTTTCTTTAGTTTTGCTATATTCAAACTAACGACAATGGAGTTCGTTATATTCTTCTTCCGTCTAGATATTGGGCGGTCTATAATAAAGTGCCTCATTGGTAGGCGGGAGTTCAAGGAATAGTTGAAGTTCTTTAGAGTTTAATAACAGGGTTATTAGCCTTTTAAATTTGATAAAGGTGTCACAGTTACGGATAGGTATTGGCAACCTGCTCCACAATAAACTATACCGAACTGTATAATCAGATCATTATGCCTGCAATTACTATAAACTAAAATAACATATTCAAGAATGGGTAAGATACATTTTCTGTATAATAATAATCTCGATTCGGTATTATTGAAATTAATCATTATGAATCCGATAAGCTTTCCAGCTTCGAATACTTGGGATGCAATGTGTTCATAAAAGTTCAAACTGTCGCTATATCTTAAACCCAAGTCACGAACAGTGTTGAGAGGTTTCAGTGTATGTTTGTGTATAGCCAGATTTAGGTTAAGGCAGCGACCAATGTTAATAAATGCACTTTTGTCAATATTAAGTGGCAAATTCCATGAAATAGTCCATTCGTACAACTTCTTTATTTCCTCTTGGATTACCGTTGAAATATAGCTGTCTTTGGTGGGAGATGAGAATGAATAAACCACTTTTAGATCATCGGCAAAAAGAAAAAGTTTACCATGCTGAAAGAGGGAGCAAACGTCATTTATAAAAAGGAGAAATAGTAATGGACCAATTACACTTCCTTGTGTAACCCCACTGGTTACATTCACAGGTTTAGAATAGCAAGATCCAAAGCGGACAATTTGGCTGCGTTCTTCTAAAAATGACCTGAGCCAAGATAAAAGGGGATTCTGTATTCCATATGAAGAGAGCTTTATAAGAAGAAGTTTGTGTGAGACGCTGTCGAAGGCCTTACTAAAGTCGAAGTACAGAATTATCACTGATTGACCAACATCTCTTCTCTGGGTAATTTGATCAAAAAATTCCAGGTGCGATGTGAAGCATGAGCGTTTGGTCATAAACCCGTGTTGGGATGGGCTAATCAGATTAGCCGAAAGCAAGAGAGGTCGTTACTTTTTGGCCGTGGTCTGCATTGTTTCTTTTTTCTAGGATTCTCACTGAACTGGATGGATTATCTTTCCTTGGAATTACGGAAGACAACTCAATTCTGATCTGTTCACGTTTAAGCTGCAAATTTTATGCTATACGATAAGATCTTAATTTTAACTTATTGATAGTATATATGATCATATTCATACAATAACTCATAATCAAATAATTGTATATTCATTTTGGCTATACGATATAACCTTCCTCTGTCATTCCAAAAACCGTATATAATCATATTCGGCGAGGAATATAATTTCATATTTGTATTCTATTCATTATATCGTGTTTGTATGCTACAACACACGTACTTTATGTATTTACAGGATCTATTCAGATCTCTACCCAATATCTAGAAATATATATAATTGTGTATGACAAAGCACTGTACTCATTATTCCACATACTTTCATTAAAATCGTATTTGGATAATATAACTCACTTAAATTCTGGGATCACCTGTCCAATTCGGTGAGTCTGTCATACGTTTATTTATTTATTTTTTTTTATGACAGTATATTTTGTCACCACTAATACCTTCCTGCTATTCTTATCCATTGTTTTTCTACACTTTCACCGATCCTCTCGATACATCCACCCTTGTGTTAAGCATAGGTTTTGATTAGACTTCAGTCCTCGACATTGATTTTTTCTTTCTTTCATCTCTATTTCCAATATTTTGTTCAATCCGCCTGCTATACGTCACTTTTTTATCATGCAACAAAAGAAAATAAAGGCCCCTGCTTGTAGGCGTCCAGCCAAACGTAGGAAAACTACGCAATCTAAAATTGCTACTGACAGTTTCAATGAGACAAGCTACTCTGTTCATCCGGAAGCAGACAAGCTTTTACCAGTTGTTTCCATTCCAGACGTGTTGAAGACTCTGTTGGTAAATAATGATGATAATCGCAACTGCAACCATACGAATGATATAAAAAGGCTGCAAGTTGACATGAACATTCTCAATCCGCTCAAGTATCTCATCAACCCTAATCTCACAGAGACTCCAGATCAAATGAATGACATCAATAACTTCTTAGATCGTGTTGCATCAGAGGTATTTGAAAGAGTTAGACGATCTAGCAATGCAATTGTGTTTAATATACCGGACTCATATGCCCTTAAAAATATCAAAACTAGTCTGCTCAGAGCCAGCAATATGACACACGTACCATGTGTATGCTCAAGATTAAAAAGAAGTCACCCTGATATGCACCCACCGATCTTGTTCAAATTCAACTCATCTGTAGACGCTAGTGAGTTTTTAAATTCCTCTAATTCATTGAAACAGAATTTCAAAGATATTAAGATTCTACCAGATAGAACACCATGCCAACGAAAAGCAGGCCGAGACAACCACAGACTACCAGCATCAAACACCCAAGCGTATCATAATCCTAAAGGTCATAAAATTAAGTCCGATCTTAAGCGGACATCTAACTTTACGAATATGCAACCACCGGAAAACTCTCCTGAATCTCCTAATGTTCAAAGCCCAAAAGAAAGTAGTCCCAATGCAGGTGATGCCCATCCTTTTAAGAATGTTGACTTAGATTCTACCCTAAGTAGTTGTACTGATTTCGAATGGGATAACACAGTCCAAGTCGCTGTTAGTGCAAAAACCAGTTTTAGTGACTGTGCAACGGATAACTGGAAAACTGGTCATAAAATTTATCTGCCTGACCACACTCTTAACGTCGATATACTCGAGCCTAGCAAACCATCTCAAGCATCTTTAACAACACACGACCCCCCTCAAATTACGAAGGAGCCAAAATCAACCACAAACCTTGGAAATAAGAGTTTAGAACATGTTCCCTATACGTCAGGTATAAATAGCAATGTAAATTGTAAACGGCCACTTGGTCGCACACATAGACCTGATAGTCTTCTTGGTCCGGCTCCCAATGTTAATACTATTCCTTTACCAAATGTTATATCCAATAACAGTGAGAAGACTTTTTTTGTACTTCCGCCGGCTTTTCTGCCGGCAACAATACACATACTTCAAATGATGACAAAGTTGTTGAATCTATTTCCGATCGCAACACAACTCTCACCTTAGCCAATCCTACCAGTATTCATGTAAATACCGATTGTGATTTATACTCCAACCTGATTCACCATGGTAAATCTCAATTTCTTACTCTTTCGTTCAATTCCCGCTCTCTGCCCAATAAAATTACTCACCTCAAAACCCTTTTATTACTTGTAAATCCAACTATCGTTCTTATTACGGAAACGTGGTGCAATTCATCTGTATCCGATCACTCTCTGCATATAGATAACTATGTTTTCTTTAGAACCGACAGATGTAATGGATTAGGGGGCGGTACACTTATCTATGTCCGTTCGGATATTCAGGCCTGCAAATTTGAGGATAAATCCCTTAATGCTATAGATGACTCCACCTGGGTGACTGTAAACTGTGGATCTCGGAATTATCTACTGGTGGGATGCATATACAGACCACCACATGCAGATTCTATGTTTGACAGATTACTAACAAACATCTTTTCCATTGCTTCACACCAACCGCATACTTTTAAAATCATCGGAGGTGATTTTAATCTGCCAAACATCACATGGGATTCGACTCCGGTTTCAGGCCGACATGACAAATTAGTTGAAACGCTAGAACTTTATGGATGGGTCCAACAGGTTCGACAACCGACTAGAAGGAATAATATACTTGATTTACTATTTACAATCAACATAGATTCTATCTCAGTGCATATCGGTCAGGAATTTTTTAAGAGTGATCACAGAGTAATATTGTGTATCATTCATTCTTTCGATGCCATACAATTGAACTCTAAAGCCGGAATGATGTACAAGAGTAGACATTTTGATCAACAAACCTGGAAACGGACTGAAAGTCTTATTCGTTGTTTGCCATGGGAAACTTATTTCACCACAAATAATATTGACATTGCGATCTCTGATCTATACCACAACTTGATACACTGCCTTGACTGCACTGCTCCAATTATTAGCCATGTGGCTTATAACGCCAATAGGGGCCATAATAATTTTAAAACTTTTAAAAGAAAACTGAGGAAATTAAAACACCGTTACCACAAGCATAATAACTTGTATACACTACAAAGTATACTTAAGTTAATTGACAAGAGTGCTTCATCTAAACGCAAGTATTTTATAAATATAGAAAATAAAGCCCTAGGTAATAAGAACCCAGAATTATCATTACTTCGGCTTTTTAAATCGCGTGTGAAGTCAAATTCTCTTGGCATGACCAAATTCTTCATAGTTAACGGAAGAATTATTGATGACCCCGATATTATTTGCGAAGAATTCAGTCAGTATTTCTCGCAGTGCTATAACGCTAGAACTGAAAGCTGTATCAATACATTTCCAATGCTGACGTGCAGACACCTGTCGAAAATTGATTTTGTACCCTCCAACATCAAGCAGGCCATAACTGCCTTGAAAAAGTCCTATGACGGTGGACCTGACGGGATTCCCTCATCATTTGTGAAATACGGTAGTAGAGAATTCCCATTATTTTGTCTAAAACTTTTCAACCTATCTATGGAATATGGGGCCTATCCATCTGCATGGAAAACATCTCTTATCACTCCCAGATTCAAAACCGGATCGCGCAGTGCTATTGCTAACTACAGACCAATTAATTTGACATCCGTGCTGTCAAGAACTATGGAAAAAATAGTCCACAAACAGTTATTATCATTTTTGCTTTCGGCTAATCTGATCAGCCCATCCCAACACGGGTTTATGACCAAACGCTCCTGCTTCACATCGCATCTGGAATTTTTTGATCAAATTACCCAGAGAAGAGATGTTGGTCAGTCTGTGATAATTTTGTACTTCGACTTTAGTAAGGCCTTCGACAGCGTCCCACACAAGCTTCTTCTTCTAAAACTCTCTTCATATGGAATACGGAATCCCCTTTTATCTTGGCTCAAGTCATTTTTAGAAGAACGTAGCCAAATTGTCCGCTTTGGATCCTGCTACTCCAAACCTGTGAATGTAACCAGTGGGGTTATACAAGGAAGTGTAATTGGTCCATTACTATTTCTCCTTTTTATCAACGACGTTTGTTCCCTCTTTCAATATGGTAAACCTTTTCTTTTTGCCGATGATCTAAAAGTGGTTTATTCATTCTCATCTCCCACAGAAGAAAGCTATATTTCAACGGTAATCCAAGAAGAAATAAACAGGTTGTACGAATGGACTATTTCGTGGAATTTGCCACTTAATGTTGACAAAAGTGGATTTATTAACATTGGCCGTTGCCTTAACTTAAATCTGGCTATACACAAATATACACTGAAACCTCTCAACACTGTTCGTGACTTGGGTTTAAGATACAGCGACAGTTTGAACTTTTCGGAACACATTGCATCTCAAGTATCCAAAGCTAGAAAGCTCATCGGATTCATAATGATTAATTTCAATAATACCGAATCGAGATTATTATTATACAGAAAATGTATCTTACCAATTCTTGAATATGGTATTTTAGTTTACAGTAACTGCAGGCATAATGACCTGATTAAAATTGAAGGTGTTCAAAGAAGGTTCACCAAAGCTGTTTTGGGGTATTCTGACAACAAAGACTATCACCAAAGATGTCAACAACTCAAACTAGAACCTCTCTGGATCAGGCGTATCAAACTAAACCTTATTTTTCTCTACCGGCTTCTTAACGGTATTTCTTACTCTTCGCTATCTACCCCATCATACTCTATGATACCGTCCCACAATCTACGCAATAAGGAAAATATTATAGCGATTCCAAAAACCCAAACAAATTTACGCCAGAATTTTTTCGTTATTCGCTACTCAACCATCTGGAATAGACTACCAATGAACCTCCGATGCAGTGAAACTATAATCCGGTTCCGAAGTCTTCTTGATGACTTTCTTTCCGAAAGTGGATTGTGTCACCTTTTGAATATTAACGTGCTTAACAACGATTTATACAAAAATGGTCCGTCAACTATCTAACTGACTGAAAAGCAAAGTGAAACCTTTGAAACTTTTCACTTTATTTTATATTTATCTGAATATACAAAGTCTGCTTATATTTGCATTTATAATTATTACTGTTATTAATATCATTATTGGTCATTCGACACATTAGATATTCTTTTCATCTCTTCTTGTCCTTGTAAACATATTTTATCCAAAGTCTACAATGAAAAACAAAAAACCCCTATGTTCCACTTAAATAATTTTTTTTTTTTTTCCAAAATATTCACAACATATAACGTATAAAAATTTATATTTCATTATTCTTTGCAATCAATTATGACTATGATAGCATCATTCTAAATTATTATTATTGCACTAATGCTTATACAACAACCCGGTTTCACTCTATATACTGTTACATAAATCTACACGTATTTATCCGTAAGGGTTTATTATTGTTGTTATTATTATTATTACTTTAAAATTATTCGTTTATCTCAAAAGTCTATATCCATTACACTATTATGATCATTGTTGAACCTTTTCACTATGTGTTCATTTCTTTTCTCTCTCTCGCTCTCTTTTTTCCTTCTAAATAAATATTATTCTTAAGATTAAGAAGCTTTGGATTGAGACAATAACTTGTGTTACATTGAATTCAACTTATCACACTCGTTTTATCTTCACTATGTATATACACCTCATAAATATTGATTATCTTTTGCACTTAATTGAGACTTTCATAGCATCACCCAAAACTATGACTGTGCTTGCACAAACACTTATTCTAACGTCATATCTTAAGGCAATAATAAGTTATTTACTTATTAATTTATTCTGTTTTATTTCATTTTTATTACTCGTTTTTGCTATACATACATAGTTGTTTATTCTTGTTCTGCGTTAAGATATTTGCGTCTCCCGCGTCTCCTTTATTTCTATTTCCTTAGTTTCTTCCTTTCCTCCTTCAAAATCAATTCAAAATTCTTGCTAATTACACAGAACCTCATTTATTATTACTATTCTATTATTAATATTTTATTTTCCTTTTCCTTCCTTTCTCAAACGTGGCATATGTATTGTTAACATTACTGAAAATTGTGTATTATTGCATTTTTGAAGAAACCCGAAATGGTTTCTTCACAGCACTTATGTACCCATAAAGTGTTTGTGAATAATAATAATAATAATAATAATAATAATAGCTGTTTGTGGATTATTTTTTCCATAGTTCTTGACAGCACGGATGTCAAATTATTTGGTCTGTACTTAACAATGTCACTGCGTGATCCGGTTTTGAATCTGGGGGTGATAAGAGATGTTTTCCATACAGATGGATAGGCCCCATATTCCATAGAATGGTTGAAAAGTTTGAAACAAAATAATGGGAATTCTCTACTACCATATTTCACAAATGATGAGGGAATCCCGTCAGGTCCACCGTCATAGGACTTTTTCAAGGCAGTTATGGCCTGCTTGATGTTGGAGGGTACGAAACCAGTTTTCGGTGTCCACATTTCAGCATTGGAAGTGTATTGATACAGTTTCAGTTCTAGTGTTATAGCACTGCGAGAAATGCTGACTGAATTGTTCGCAAATAATATCAGGGTCATAAACAATTCTTCCGTTAACTATGAAGAATTTGGTCGCGCCAAGAGGATTTGACTTCACACGCGATTTTAAAAGCCGAAGTATTGATAATTCTGGGCTTTTATTACTTAGGGCTTTATTTTCTACATTCATAAAATACTTGCGTTTAGATGAAGCACTCTTGTCAATTAACTTAAGTATACTCTGTAGTGCATACAAGTCATTATGCTTGTGGTAACGGTGTTTTAATTTCCTCAGCTTTCCTTTACAAGTTCTGTAATTATTCTGACCCCTATTGGCGTTATAAGCCACATGGCTAATAATTGGAGCAGTTCAGTCGAGGCAGTGTATCAAGTTGTGGTATAGATCAGAGATCACAGTGTCAATATTATTTGTGGTAAAATAAGTTTCCCATGGTAAACAGCGAATAAGGCTTCCAGTCCGTCTCCAGGTTTGTTGATCAAAATGTCTACTCTTGTACATCGTTACAGCTTTAGAATTCAATTGTATGGCGTCGAAAGAATGAATGATCACAATACTACTCTGTGATTACTCTTAAAAATTCATGACTGATATGCACTGAGATAGAATGTTTGTTGATTGTGGGTAGTAAATCAAGTATATTATTCCTTCTAGTTACTTATCGGACCTGTTGGACCCATCCATAAAGTTCTAGTGTTTCAACTAACTTGTCATGTCGACCTGGTACCGGAGTCGAATCCTATGTAATGTTTGGCAGATTAAAATCACCTCCGATGATTTTAAAAGTATGCGGTTGGTGTGCAGCAATGGAAAAGATGTTCGTTAGTAATCTGTCAAACATAGAGTCTACACGGGGTGGTCTGAATATGCATCCCAGCAGTAGATAATTCTGAAATCCACAGTTTACAGTAACCCAGGTGGAGTCGTCTAAAGCATCAAGGGATTCATTCTCAAATTTGCAGGCCTGAATATCCGAACGGTCATAGATAAGTGTACCGCCCCCAAATCCATTACATCTATCGGTTCTAAAGAAAACATATTTATCTATATGCAGGGAGTGATCGGATATAGATGAATTGCACCACCTTTCCGTAATAAGTACAATAGTTGGATTTACAGGGAATAAAAGGGTTTTGAGGTGAGTAATTTTATTTGGCAGAGAGCGGGCATTGAACGAAAGAATAAGAAATTGAGAATTACCATGGTGAAGCAGGTTAGAGTATAAAACACAATTGGTATTTTCATGAGAGTGTTGTGTTGCAATCGGAAATAGATGCAACAACTTTGTCATCATTTGAAGTATTTTTATTGTTGCCGGCAGAAAAGCCGGCGGAAGTACAAAAAAAGTCTTCTCATTGTTATTGGATATAACATTTGGTAAAGGAATAGTATACATATTTGGAGCCGGGCCAAGAAGGCTATCAGATCTATGTGTGCGACCAAGTGGACGTTTACAATTTAGATTGCTATTTATACCTGACGTATAGGGAACATGTTCTAAACGCTTATTTCCAAGGTTTGTGGTTGATTTTGGCTCCTTCGTAATTTGAGAAGGGTCGTGTGTCGTTAAAGATGC